CTCGAACAAGACTATTGATAAGTTTACTAGGACGTCTCTCATTCATGGGGTTGTCATAGGCTGAAGTTGACAAGAATCAACAGCATGGAAATTTATCCTTAAATGTGTTTTATATTATACTAAAGGTTAAAGAAAGAAAGAAAACAGAAGCATCCATGATGTATTAAACACAAGGACTAGAATCCTGTGGGTGTGCTATGAATGCCTGCATTCTCCCTGAGTTGCACAGAGTGCCAACATTTGGCCAGCCCATATACCACATTTTATACTCATACACATTTGTTTGCCCATTTCATAGAATCATAGTTGGAAGAGACCTATTGAGTCATCCAGTCCAACGCCCTGCCAAGAAGCATAAAAATTGCATTCAAAGCTACCTCTCTATTCTGCCTTTGTTAGACCACACAATTCTGGGCACCACAATTGAAGAGAGATATTGACAAACTGGAATGTGTCCAGAGGAGGGTGACTAAAATGATCAAGGGTCTGGAGAACAAGCCCTATGAAGAGCGGCTTAAAGAGCTGGGTATGTTTAGTCTGAAGAAGAGAAGGTTGAAAGGAGGCATGATAGCCATGTATAAATATGTGAGAGGAAGTCACAGGGAGGAGGGAGCAAGCTTGTTTTCTGCTTCCCTGGAGACTAGGACGCGGAACAATGGCTTCAAACTACAAGAAAGGAGATTCCATCTGAACATGAGGAAGAGCTTCCTGACTGTGAGAGTTGTTCAGCATTGGAACTCTCTATGTGGTGAAGGCTCCTTCTTTGGAGGCTTTTAAACAGAGGCTGGATGGCCATCTGTCAGGGGTGCTTTGAATGCAATATTCCTGCTTCTTGGCAGGGGGTTGGACTGGATGGCCCATGAGGTGTCTTCCAACTCTATGATTCTATGATTTTATGATTCTATGGCCATCCAGCCTCTGCTTAAAAGCCTCCAAAGGAGGAGCCTCCACCACACTCCGGGACAGAGAGTTCCACTGCTGAACAATTCTCACAATCAGGAATTATTTATTTATTTATTTATTTATTTATTTATTTATTTAAAACTCCCTCCCCAGTGAAATTACATCAGCTCCTGGCCTTCAGAAAAAACTAAAAACTTGGCTCTGGGATCAGGCTTTTGGTCAATAATGCGAGCGAGGCAGTAAGAAATTGTAAATTAATTTTAATAATGACCTGGATTGGCCTTGAAATATGACTTGGACGATGTGCTTTTAATAGTTGTTTTAATGTTATGTTTTAATTGGATAGTTTTAATGTTTTACTTATTAATTGGTATATGTATTCATGCAGCATTGAATTGTTGCTTTTGTAAAGTCTCCTTGAGTCTCCTTTGGGGTTGAGAAGGGCGGAATACAAGTATAACAAACAAACAAACAAATAAATAAATAAATATTCTGCTCTTCTCACCCCAAAGGGGACTCAGGGCGAAGCACAACATACAAATGGCAAACATTCAAGGCTGGCACATGAATTCACTGTTGTTCAGGTGGAATCTTCTTTTCTGTAGTTTGAAGCCATTGTTCTGCGTCCTAGTCTCCCGAGCAGCAGAAAACAAACTTGCTCCCTCCTCCCTATGACTCACATATTTACACATGGCCCTCATGTTTCCTCTCAGCCTTCTCTTCTTCAGGCTCAACATGCCCAGCAATTTAAGCCGCTCTTCATAGGGCTTGTTCTCCAGACCCTGGATCATTTTAGTCACCCTCCTCTGGCCATTTGGTGTGCCTAAAACTGCCATTCAACAGAAAAGCTGTGTGATATAAGGAAAAGGCATAATTTCAAATGTGGGGATTGATCTTCTGTAAGCGTGATGAAAAATTTCACACATGGCATCACACACATTTGATGTGGTCTGTTTCTGTTTTGTATAATCTAGAATTTCATTGTCATTCTCATTGTTAGTCTGGCAAAATACCAGATTGACTCAATCTGTAACAAAATATCAGATTGACTCTATAACAAAATATCAGATTGACTCATATGATACAATATTGTGCTATTTGGCTGGGGATAGACATTAATGTTGCCTTTGTGAAACACTTGAGGAGTAAACTGTTTTTATTTAATTATTGACATAACACAGTAATTCAAAAGCTAATCCAGATCTCTATCCTTGCTGTAAATTGTATTGATTGTATGTGCTTTTAAATTGATGATGGTTTATGGCAAAGCTATGAGGCGTTTTCTTGGCAAACTTTAGTTAGAGGACCTTTGCCTCTGAGGCTGTGAGAATGTGACTTGCTCATGATCTCTCATTGTTCTTCCATGTCTGACCAGGAGTTACAACTCTGGTCTCTTAGAGTCAAATTAGGAGATTATACATGTATAACCATTTTATTCTCCATCAATTTAGGACATTATGTCTGCTCAGTCTCTCTTCTTGTCACATGAAGCACACATTTTTGAACTCTCATTGACCTAGCCACAGGGATGATTAACCTTGGAATCTGGGAGTTGTAGTTCACCCACATCTAGAGAGCACTGAATCCAGCTGAAGCTGGATCTGGGCCAAACTTGGCACACAGACCTAACATGGCCAACTTGAAATACTGATGGGGTTTGGAAGTGATTGACCGAATAAACTGGGAGTTGTAGTTTACTGGCATCCAGAGAGCACTGAACCCAGTCGAGGACAGATCTGAACCAAAATTGGCACACAGACCTAATGTGGCCAACTTTGAATACTGGTGAGGTTTGGGGAAGATTGACCGATAATTTTGGGAATTGTAGTTCACCAACATCCTTATGTATTTTCTAAAAGGAGTATTCATAAAAAAGAAAAGTAAAGACTGGCTTCTTCTAATAAATAGCACTACAAATTACTTTTAAAAGTCGACTTGCTTTTTTATTGTTCCATGTGAATGTGCATTTCTATATTATTTGTTATTTATACAGTACATTTTCTTATTTAAAACATAACAAAAATGGGGGCAGGGGGGATGTTCAGGGAGCTGGAACAGACTAATAACATTTCAATGCATTTCAATGGAAAAATTCAATTTGAGATAAGAATGATTTGTGCAGATTGTTCAGTATGTGTAACCCAATTACCCAGTGCACAGTTTAGCCAGTTCAAAAAAAAATATGCAACACAAATATGAAGAATGCAAAAAGCAGACATTTACTCTTAATTATTCAGAGCTGTGAATTTAAAAAAACCCACAACCAATAGTATAGTCACAATTCCTTTTGTGTATTACACTTACACATAGTCCATATAGTCCATAGAAACAAATCTTCCAATGATCCTTGGATGTAGAAATACTGGTCAGCATGAAATGGAGCTACTGCCAGTCAGAAGCTTTAGGCTGAGCAGCAAGGCTTCCAGTAAATGTTAGCAAGTTCGGCTTCCAGGAGCAAACACAAAGTAAGCCCAACACATGAAACAAACTCTCCCCAATATACTCCTCTAGGAGTTGCCCAAACTAATCAACCCTGATTGCTTGTGGCTACAACTAACTCAGGCATGTTGTTCTCTTAACACACACACATGCACACCCGGTAGTGATGATCTTACTGCAACTTAGCCATGTACCTTAACACTATTTGAGTTACGAGATTAGTCAAGGAATGAAATAAACTCTTAAGTCAAGGTATCAGTGTACTATTCTTGCTGTTGTAATCATATACATAATTGTTCTTCTTGTAGGTTTTTTTCCCCATGTCAGCAGCGACTTGAGAAACTGCAAATTGTTTCTGGTGTGAGAGAATTATCCATCTGCATGGATGTTGCCCAAGGGACACCTGGATGATTTGATGCTTTACCATTCCTGTGGGAGGCTTCTCTCATGTCCCCGCATGGGGAGCTGGAGCTGACAGAGAGAGCTCATCCACGCTCTCCCCGGATTCGAACCTCTGACCTGTCGGTCTTCAGTCCTGTCGGCACAAGGGTTTAAACCATTGCACCACTGGGGGCTCCTTTTTGTAGGTTCAGTGATTTGTACATCTATCATGTTGAGAAAATGCAGCTGCAATGCGAATTCTAATTCTAATTGTAAAATACTATTAATTCTATTACTGTATTTCTCAAATTTAATTCACCATTGAATCTAACACACACCTCAATTTTCAAAACCCTGGAACTAAAAAAAGTCTTTTCTGCTGAATGTAATGCAAAAAGAGCACTCTTTGTAATCTGGCCAAAAAAGATGTGCATTACAGTGACTGCCTATATATAATTCCTTCTTTAAAAACAAAAGTGTTAGAACACCAAAGTTTTAAGCAATGGAAAAGAAAACCTTGGGGTGCATCAATGGAATGAATCCACTTTAACTAGCCTGGTCCAGTGCTTTGGGGTCATGGGGGCTGCCAAAGAATGCTGATACCTCACCAACCGCCATGGCAATTAGAGATGACATCCCTCAAATAGGAGCGCCAGGTGCTCCTGATATTGTTTCTCCTTTTGCTTTGGCTCAGCACTAAGATTATCATATCATGCAAATCTAAAACCATAATTTTGGGAATGGAATTTAGTAAAAAAAAATTAAAATAAATAGTGTCCCTACTTCATGGATTTTCACTTATCGTGGGTGGTCCTGGAATGTAACGCCCGCGATAAGTGAGGGAACACTGTATAGCTTTTCAAAACATATGCCCTGATTCAAAAGCACTTCTCAAATGGTGGTCAACTCTCTAACTTACATGCATATTCAAATCAAGGGCCATAAACTCTGGAATGCGGAGGTCGTGTTACAGCAGGGGACAAACACAGACCAGAAAAATGTCTCTTTATTTTATTTTTATTTTTTTAAAGAAATTTTATTAAATTTTATATAGAATACAATGAAAGAGTGAGAACAATAAGGTATAGAAAGGTAAAGAAAAAAAGAGAGAGGGTAAGGCCAATAAAGTAAGAAGTAAAAAAGATATCCTAAATAAAACCCTAAAAAATAAACTACAAGAATACATCCATACACAAAAAAATATATAGAAAAAATAAAAATAAAAGAAAAAAGTGACTTCCATTCCATCTTCTTGGATAAAATATTCTTATTATTCAAAAATATATATTTTTATTAAAGATAATAAAATTGTCTCTCTTGTTTTTTATATTCGCAAATTGTCCAGATAGTCATGAAGATTGTCCCAATTCGTTCTTTTTATTTTTAGTGTCTCTTTAGAAATTGATGTGGGATTGTTATAGTCCAACAGTCCTATTTCTTGTTTATTTATTTATTTACTTTACTTTATTTCTATACCGCTTTTCTCAGCCCTTAGACAACTCAAAGCGGTTTACACAGTACAAATCACAAGACAATATCATGCACATTAAAACACATTATACATAACAATCAATATCAATAACCAATCATTATCATAACGCCTCAACAATAAATCAGAATCCATTCTCATAATCCTTTGTTCCATGTTCCTATGTTCAATTGCACCGTATTCCTATATTCGATTGCACTGTTTAGCCAAACGTTTGTTCGAAAAGCCAGGTCTTCACCTTCTTCCGAAATGCCAACAGCGAAGGGGCCTGTTCTTTCTGTATTTTAAAAAAATTATTTTGGAAATAGTCATTGCCTCTTATCACCTATCAATTTACCCCAATCTGTTTTTACCAATTGTGTTATTTCTTGTTTACTATCCATTCTGAAATGTTCTGTTAGCCCCATGGATAAAAACCACTGCACTTTGACCCCTTCTTTTTGGAATTCTCTAGTTTTAAATCTTAGGATCCTTTGTCTATTATTAATATGTCTTTATATCTCAACCATCCTTTGAGATATTGTAATTTGGTTCTTTTTAATGCTTAATGTGATGATAGCCATTGAGTTTGCAACCTCATGTGACAATATTCTTAAACAGTTTCTTCTAGGCAAAACTTTGACCTCTGCCACATGTCATTGTTCTTTATGTTTACTATACATTTTAAGGTACTTCAGATTTGCAGATGTAGCGGTGTGGTATGTTGCATCTTCCGGAGTTAGCCTCCACCGAGCCATGTAAATAGGCACAATCACCACCATTTCCTGCTGGCTTCCTGCAAGGCAAATTAATGTCAAGCAAGGGTAAGATATTCTCTAAACAAAAGGAGACACATGTCTCATTAGATCGAGCCTAGTTCTTTGGAAAGTGGAAACACAGAAACAGAGAGGAATAAAACTCAATCATAATAGATCCCCCCTCTTTTTTTTCTAATTTGATACATATGTATGCTGCCTTTTTCTCTGACTAGAATTTGAGGGGCCTGATGGAAATCTGGGGTGACTATGGGATCTTTGATTTCCCCAACCAAGCTGTTAAGTCATTTTTGTATGATAAAAGATAATGCAATTCAAAGGAGACCATATGGATTATCTGCTTTGATTATCTGGATTATATTGCAGTGTGGATCCAGCCTAAGAAGCTTTGAAATCACACAGGACTTTGTGATGCCACCTTATCTTTGGACTGCAAAGGTCTTAGATCCAGCAACTGCCATCACTAAGGCCTCCTCTACACTGCCATATAAAATCTGGATTATCTGCTTTGAACTGGATTACATTAGTCTACACTGCCATATATTCCATTTTAAAACAGATAGTCTGGATTTTATATGTCAGTTTAGATGGGGTCTAAGTTCTTTCCTGGGTAGATCTACACTGTGGAATCAATGCAGTTTGATAACACTTTAACTGCCATGGCTCAATGCTATGGCATCATGGGAGTTGTAGTTCTCCAAAGTTTTTTTTTACTTTCTCTGCTAAAGAGTTCTGATGCCTTACAAAACTACAAACCTGAAAGATTCTATAGCAGGGGTCCTCAAACTAAGGCCCGGGGGCTGGATACGGCCCTCCAAGGTCATCTACCCAGCCCTTGCTCAGGATCAACTTAAGTCTGAAACAACTTGAAAGCACACAACAACAACAACAACAACAACAACAGCAGCAGCAGCAGCAATCCTATCTCATCAGCCAAAAGCACGGCCACACTTCCCATTGAAATACTAATAAGTTTATATTTATTAAAATTGTTCTTCATTTTAATTATTGTATTGTTTTTAAGTGTCTTTTGCACTACAAATAAGATATCTGCAGTGTGCATAGGAATTCATTCATGTTTTTTTCAAATTATAATCCGGCCCTCCAACTGTTTGAGGGATTGTGACCTGGCCCTCTGTTTAAAAAGTTTGAGGATCCCTGTTCTATAGCATTCAACTTTGGCAGTTAAAGAGGTTTCATACTGGATACATTCTGCAGTGCAGATGCACTCCTTCTTTTCCTCTTCAACATACACCCCACCTCTCTCTCCTTTTTTGGCTTTTCTGCAAATTGTTGTCTAGCAGAAGATCAGTTGTACCAACAGCTTGGTTGGCAGAAGGGCATAAAGACGGTTGGCCCTTTCTACACTGCCATATACAATCCAGATTATCTGCTTTGAACTAGATTATATGGCAGTGTAGACTCATATAATCCAGTTCAAAGCAGATAATGTGGATTATTTGCTTCAATTATCTGGATTATAGGGCAGTGCAGAAGGGTCTGTTGACTCAACAAAAGTTCATTTCAACTAGCATAAGAGGTTTCTCGGCATATTTTTGAATTAGGATCACACTGCACATGGGTAGACAGACATTGTTTGCCACGAAGATGCTCCAAACTATGGCTGGATCTACACTGCTATATAATCCAGTTTCCAATCCCAGATTATCAGCTTCGAATTTGATTATATCGCAGGATACACCCATACAAACTAGTTCAAAGCAGATAATCTTGAATCAGGTATTGCATTCTATGGCTTTATAAATCCAGCCTGTTTCTTATTTTACGTGTTATAATGGTCTCCAACGACTATTGAGAGGAACTTCTGAGATTTTCTGTCTCTGATGCCAAAATAACTTGTCTGGCCTGCTGTTATCTATTCTTTCTCTTTAATATCTTGTCATTTTGACCACATTTTGATATCACTTGGCTGCACATATCCTCATCTATGAAATGTTGGAGACTACAATATAATGACACAATATTATCCTATTCAAAAAATATCCTAAAATGAGAATTTTTCTAGGCAGCAGTGATATGGAGCACTATCTCTGGAAGGCATTTCATTTGGTATCTCACTCCCGAAGACTGAAAGGTAAAGGAAAAAAACTCACGTTGCATTTTCCCCATTAGGCCATTTCCATGATTGATCGAAGGATTTATGGAGGCCAATCCAAAAGGGTTTGTTTTGCATGATACCTTTCACGAAATCCTGTAAAGAGCAAGAGCAACTTGTGAGAAAACCCCAGCCAGGCCAACAACACAATAACTGAACACAAGCACTAAGATATTATCAGTTTTAAAAATTAACCAGGAACAACTAATACAGTGTTTCTCAACCTGGAGGTCAGGACCTCTGAGGGGTTGCAAGGGGGTGTTAGAAGGGTTACCATCGGAAAACATAGTATATTCTGTTGGGTCATGAGGATTCTGTGTGGGAAGTTTGGCCCAATTCTATCATTGGTGGGGGTTCAGAATGCTCTTTAATTGTAGGTGAACTATAAATCCCAGCAACTACAACTTGCAAATGTCAAGGCCTATTTTCCCCAAACTCCACCAGTGTTCACATTTGAGCATATTGAGTAATAGTGCCACGTTTGGTCCTGATCCATCATTGTTTGAGTCCACATTGCTCTCTGGATGTAGGTGAACTACAACTCCAAAACTCAAGGTCAATGACCACCAAACCCTTCCAGTATTTCCAGTTAATCATGAGAGTTCTGTGAGCCAAGTTCCATAGTTGGTGGAATTCGGAATGCTCTTTGATTGTAGGTGAACTATAAATCCCAGCAATTACAACTCCCAAATGATAAAACCAATCCCCCCAACCCCACCAGTATTCAGATTTGGGCATATTGGATATTTCTTCCAAATTAGGTCCAGTAAAAGAAAATACATCCTGCATATTAGATATTTAAATTACAATTCATAACCATAGCAAAATTACAGTTATGAAGTAGCAATGAAAATAATTTTATGTTTGGTGGTCACCCTACATCATGAGGAACTGTATTAAACAGTCACAGCATTAGGAAGGTTGAGAACCACTGAACTAATTGAACAGAAATCTTGTTAAATTCAAGTTTCAAAAGGCTTCTTCATAGCACTTGAGCATAAACAACACTGTGAAAGATCTGACTGAAAACAAACCATGTATTTCTTACCTCTTCCTCGATTCCGATTCTAGCTAAGGAACTGTTCCGTGAGAAGCAGGCATTCTCACTCTCCGTCCAATTCAATTCGTCTTTGGAAAAGTAGTAACAGTTTTTTCGATGCATATGTGAGTCATCTGGACATAAGGGTGGTGAACATATGCATGGCTGCTCACTTTTACTTGGTTGCTGAGATCCTACAGAGAAACAACAGAGAAGACAGCACCTCATTACTGATGGAATTTACTCATCAGAATTTACATTACTGATACGAAAGCTGACTGGCACAACCTGGGGATCACAACCAGACACAGTGAAGACATCTGGCCTTGCACTTTGCTACTCTGCTGCTGAGTATGCATGCCCAGTGTGGAACACATCTCACCACACTAAAACAGTAGATGTGGCTCTTAATGAGACATGCCGCATTATCACAGGGTGTCTGCGCCCCACACCACTGGAGAAATTACACTGCTTAGCCGGTATTGCACCACCTGACATCCGCCGGGAAGTTGCAGCCAATAGTGAAAGGACCAAGGCAGAGACATCTCCAGCTCATCCCCTGTTTGGGTATCAGCCAGCACGTCAACGACTTAAATCTAGACATAGTTTTCTAAGATCTACAGAGACACTCGCTGAAACACCTCAGCAAGCGAGAGTCCAAAAGTGGCAGGCTCAAACCCAGAACCTCAACCAATGGCTGATACCAGATGAGAGACTCCCCCCTGGGCACACAGAAGACTGGGCGACTTAGAAGGCGCTGAACAGACTGCGCTCTGGCACCACGAGATGCAGAGCCAATCTTAAGAAATGGGGCTACAGGGTGGAATCCTCGGCATGCGAGTGCGGAGAAGAGCAAACGACTGACCACCTGCTGCAATGCAACCTGAGCCCTGCCACATGCACAATGGAGGACCTTCTTGCGGCAACACCAGAGGCACTCCAAGTGGCCAGATACTGGTCAAAGGACATTTAACCAACTACCAAGTTTGCAAAATCTGTGTGTTTTTTTTTTTTAATCTGTGTGTTTGTTTTGTTCTGTTAGAATTGTAATACAATGGTATGGTTGCTGATGATACGATAAATAAATAAATTACTGATGGAGTCACAGACATATATTTTGGGTTAGATTTTCTTCTGTTGTTAGAGTACTTTCCACTGTCCTGGTGTGACAGGGAAAGGAGACTAAAATGACCAAAAGTCTGGAGAACAAGCCCTATGAGGAGTGGCTTAAAGAGCTGGGCATGTTTAGCCTGAAGAAGAGAAGGCTGAGAGAAGACATGATAGCCATGTATAAGTATGTGAGGGGAAGTCATAAGGAGGAGAGAGCAAGCTTGTTTCTGCTGCCCTGGAGACTAGGATGCGAAACAATGGCTTCAAACTACAGGAAATGAGATTCCACCTGAACATTACAAAGTACTTGCTAATGGTGAGAGATGTTCAGCAGTGGAACTCTCTGCCCTGGAGTGTGGCTCCTTCTTTGGAGATTTTTAAACAGAAGCTGGATGGCCATCTGTCAGGGGTGCTTTGAATGTGATTTGGACTGCAGGCCCCATGAGGCCTCTTCCAACTCTATGATTCTATGATTCTAAGGAACAACTGAAACCAAATATTAAATTGAAGGCTAAATTGCAAAGTATCAAAACCTGGGCTACTTACCCACATTAAAAATGATAGAAATGATCAATGCAATGAAAAGTACAATAATAAGTGCACATGGGACTTTGTTCTGTAAAATCCATTTGTGTAGCTCTGCACCTGTAAAAATGTTAAAAGAAAGAAAAAAAGGAATCAGATCCACCATCACTCCAGTCCTGACCCCATGCAAGGAATATTACCAGATTAATATAGTAAATTCTACATAATGTAAAGTCCCAACAAAAATTTCCTCTTTTACTTTCCTTTTTTGCTTTAATTCTGTGATTCTCAGCTTTTGGAGGGCAAATGGTTATAATTTTGGGGGGAAACAGGAATACATGGAGTTGTCCTCTATTAATCACTTCAATATTTATGTATCCTAGCTCTCTAGTACAGCATTTCTCAACCTGGGGGTAGAGACCCCTGTGGGGTTCACGAGGAGGTTTCAGAGGGGTCACCAAAGACCAAGAGAAAACATATTATTTCTGATGGTCTTAGGAACCCCTTTGGCAGAGAAGGCAGACGATCTCTCCACTTGTCCTTCTCTTCCTTTTTGGAAACAGACTTCAAATCATCCCACCCAAAGCCCACCCTCCGCTGTGATTGGCCAGCCTTTCAGTCAAGGAAAGGGCTGTTTCTGAGACTCCAAGTGCAGGAGGGGAGAGCAGGTGTGCTCAGCGCATGGTGCACATGTGCGGGACGAGGGAGAGAGTGCAAGGCTAGAGGGAGGTTCGCACCAGCAAATCTATTCAAACTATGGGGGTTCTGTGTGGGAAGTTTGGCCCAATTCTATTCTTGGTGGGGTTCAGAATGCTCTTTGATTGTAGGTGAACAATAAATCCCAGCAATGACAACTCCCAAATGTGAAGGTCTATTTTCCCCAAACTCCACCAGCGTTCACATTTGGGCACATTGAGTATTCATGCCAACTTTTGTCCAGATCCATCATTGTTTGGGTGGAGCCCCCGGTGGCACAGTGAGTTAAAGCACTGTGCCGACAGGACTGAAGACCAACAGGTCGCAGGTTCGAATCCCGGGAGAGGCGGATGAGCTCCCTCTATCGGCTCCAGCTCCTCATGCGGGGACATGAGAGAAGCCTCCCACAAGGATGATAAAACATCAGAAATCATCTGGGCGTCCCCTGGGCAACATCCTTGCAGACGGCCAATTCTCTCACAACAGGAGCAGTCGCTCCTGACACGACAAAAAAAAATTGTTTGGGTCCACAGTGCTCTCTGGATGAAGATGAACTACAACTCCAAAACTCAAGATCAATGCCCACCAAATTCCTCCAGTATTTTCTGTTGGTCATGGGAGTTCTGTGTGCCAAGTTTGGTCCAATTCCATCCTTGGTGGGGTTCAAAATGCTCTTTGATTGTAGGTGAACTATAAATCCCAGTAATTACAACTCTCAAATGACAAAATAAATTGCTCTCACTCAACCAGCATTTGGATTTGGGCGTATCGGATATTTGTACCAAATTTGGTCCAGTGAATGAAAATATATCCCGCATATCAGATATTTACATTAAGATTCATAACAGTAGCAAAATAACAGTTATGAAGTAACGGTGGAAATAATTTTATGGTTGGGGTCACAACAACGTGGGGAACTGTATTATGGGGTTGCAACATTAGGAAGGTTGAGAAACACTGCTCTAGGAGATGAGTGCAGCAACCTCACCAGGCAGCACCAGGGAGGCAAAGGACAGGTTTGTGGAGGTGCCTAAACAGAGCAATTTTCAGTGGGGACCTTAGGAAGTGGTAGCATTTAGCCTCTGCTTTAGGCATGAAAGGTGTCTGGGGAAAGTCCTAACAAGGTCTTCTTCAGTGTAAAGAAAGAATTCTTGCAGTTTTCTAAAGTTATGAGGCTACTTCTCCCAGTTTTCCCTCCTCATTTGCTAGTCTACCTGGGATTGCAGGAATTTTCAGTCCAAAAAAAGTCTGGAGGGTTGCATGCAGCCCCAACTACACTGGAATATCTGCTTTGCATTGGTTTCTATGGCAGTGTAAACTCATATAATCCAATGCATTGTTGAAGGTTTTCATGGCCAGAATCACTGGGTTGTTGTAGGGTGTTTTTTTTGGGGTTATATGGCCATGTTCTAGAGGCATTCTCTCCTGATGTTTCACCTGCATCTATGGCAAGCATCCTCAGAGGTTGTGAGGTCTGTTGGAACTAGGAAAATTGGGTTTATATATCTGTGGAATGACCAGGGTGGGACAAAGGACTCTTGTCTGCTGGAGTTTGGTGTGAATGTTTCAACTGACCACCTTGATTAGCATTTGATGGCCTGGCAGTTTTTGGTGTGGCTTGCTAGTGTCTGGGGGAATCTTTTGTTGAGAGGTGATTAGCTGTCCCTGATTGTTTCCTCTCTGTTGTTTTGTTGTTGTAATTTTAGAGTTTTTAAATACTGGTAGCCAGATTTTCATGTTCATGGTTTCCTCCTTTCTGTTGAAATTGTCCACATGCTTATGGATTTCAATGGCTTCTCTGTGTAGTCTGACATAGTGGTTGTTAGAGTGGTCCAGCATTTCTGCATTCTTAAATAATATGCTGTGTCCAGGTTGGTTCATGGGGTGCTCTGCTATGGCTGACTTCTCTGGTTGAAGTAGTCTCCAGTGCCTATCATGTTCCTTTATTCGTGTTTGGGCAATGCTGTGTTTGGTGGTCCCTATGTAGACTTGTCTACAGCTGCATGGTATATGGTAGACTCCTGCAGAAGTGAGAGCAAAGGACAAGAGGGATCCTCTCACAATCAGGGACAGCTAATCACCTTACACAGGAAACAATCACCTTATACGGGAAACAATCAGGGACAGGTAATCACTTCTCAACAAAAGATTCCCCCAGGCACTAACAAGCCACACCAAAAAACTGCCAGGCCATCAAATGCTAATCAAGGTGGTCAGTTGAAACATTCACACCTAGCTCCAGCAGACAAGAGTCCTTTGTCCCACCCTGGTCATTCAACAGATATATAAACTCTTTTTCCTAGTTCCAACAGACCTCACTACCTCTGAGGATGCTTGCCATAGATGCAGGCGAAATGTCAGAAGAGAATGCCTCTTGAACATGGACATATAGCCTGAAAAAACCTACAACTCATATAATCCAGTTCAAAACAGATAATCTGGGTTCAGAAACTGGATTAGATGGCAGTGAAGATCCAGCCTGACCCCCAGCCCTATTTTAGGTGTAATGGAAAAACTGTGAACCTGAAGATTGTCAATCCATTATAGAATCATAGAATCATAGAGTTGGAAGAGACCTCATGGGCCATCCAGTCCAACCCCCTGCCAAGAAGCAGGAATATTGCATTCAAAACCCCTGACAGATGGCCATCCAGCCTCTGTTTAAAAGCTTCCAAAGAAGGAGCCTCCACCACACTCCGGGGCAGAGAGTTCCACTGCTGAACGGCTCTCACAGTCAGGAAGTTCTTCCTCATGTTCAGATGGAATCTCCTTTCTTGTAGTTTGAAGCCATTGCTTCGTGTCCTAGTCTCCAGGGAAGCAGAAAACAAGCTTGCTCCCTCCTCCCTGTGACTTC